CCCGCAGGCTGTGTCCCCCCCAAGGAGCCCCCCATTTTTCTCTGCGGCCTGCAGACAGGCCGGTATCAGGTTCCTAACACTGCAAGCCCTCCAAGCTGTTTTCCCCCGCCGCAGGCACCCAAAGCAGCAGAGCTGGGTAACAACCCATCCGCAGGCGATGCCTGGGACGCAGGGCTGGGGCTCTCCTGCCCGTCACCGAGGGAGCATGGCAGCAGTGAGGTCCGTGGGTACCGGCACCGCTGCTGCAGCTCTCGCGCTGGGCTGGTTTGGTTCTTTCACAAGGTCTTAGAACACGATTCTCTTTAGGACTGCAAAAGCTTTCTGAAGGCAAGACCCTCCTGTGCTCTTCCCATTGAAAATATGGTTGGAGACACAAGCACTCACAAAATGCCCCCACAATACTGAACCAGCACCCGGAACACGGTGGCACTCGAGCATCTTCACTGATGTTGCCAATCAAAGCAACAATAACGCTTTTCCTATCCTGTCTTGTAGACAGTCACTTACTGCCCCAGTCCCTTCGTGCCTTCATTCGTGGCGTGAGGCTCTACTCGCTCTCCTGAACAGAAAGCTCTCGCTTGCTTTCCACTCCTATAGGTTACTCTGCTTCATCCCACCAAGCGTGTACTGGCACAGTGTGCAAAGTGATGCCAACATGATGTTTGTTTATCAGCTTTAAAATATTCAAGATAATATCAGGATTAATGGTGGTGTTAAAAAAACCAAGACACAGCACAGCGAAGGGGCAGGGCGGGGGCCCCAGCGTACCCTCTCCTGAGGGTGCTGGCATCAGCAATAAATGCATCAACACTGAGTCGGTGTTTCTCAGGGAAAAAAACAATTCATTTTGTTTACAGAAACAACTTTCAGGTTTCTTTTTGGTTGTAAAAAGTGACCTTTTGGCTTCTCCCTGTACCCTACCCCACAGGCTGGCGGGTGCAGGGCCCCCGCGCCGGCTGCAACCAGGGCAGCACACACCACAGCCGACATGAGACCCAGCTCTGCCGCCACAGTGAACACCAAACCCACCGCCTTGGCGCACTAAGACATCCCTACGACTGGCCCTGAAGGGTTAAAGGAAGGCTAAGAGCTTCCCTTCTTCCTGCCCTCGGCAGACGTCCTCCCCCACGATTTGCAGCGAGCTTGCTCGCATCTTTTCGGAATACCGTGCGCTCACACGAACGCCATCGCTCTTTGTTTCAGACACGAGATGACTCTGATGTGCTCCAGCAGCAGTGGGACTGGAACACTGTTCACCTCGCTGAGGCAGGGATCAAAAATTGGGCCAAAGTTTTAAGATGGAGAGTAAAGGGATATTCTCTAGAATACAATTGTCTGGGGAAAAAAAACAAAAAACAACAAACCCCAGTCACAGTATCTGTAATTGCTTGTTATTCCTTAAAAATAACCTCTACACAATTACAGATTCTCTGCTTCCAAAGGTGTCCAAATTTTTACTTTGTCCTTTCCAGGTAACTCCAGTTTCCCACTTCCCCAGCTCCTCAGACTCCATCACTTAAGACCTAAAAGAAAGTGAAGGGCCCTGTTTTTCCCCTGCTTCTCCACCAACATAGGATATTCTCATGCTAAGGTGGTGAAGGTGGGTTGTTGTAATTAAATTATCTCTCAGCAGTGCAAGTGTATTGCTTCCACCCCATTCTCTAGCTGGGTGATGCTCTCCTGATAAAAGCCCAGGCAACGGGTGATTATTCCCTTTTCCCTAATCATACCATCCATTCTGATATGGCTATAATAACGCAGATAGCTCTCATATCAGTTTACTGCCTCTCCAGCAGGTCTTTAGTGGTAGCACTTCTTATACTGACATGACTGTGCTTTTTGAGGCCGCTCCTGATCCAAAAGCAACGCCACCAACGCTGAAATACAGACTGATTTGTAGAGCTGAGACTACAGAAGACGAGCCCCTGCGCCAGAGCTTCAGCCACAGCTGCAGCAAAGCACAGTGCGACCTCCCTGCCGCACCTTTTCTGGTTTCTCAAACTAGAAAAATTCAGGTACACTAAATCGGTGGGTGTATGTTACCATTCATTTGCTTTACTAAAATATTATGATTGCTTAACAAATAATTATATCCTGTCGGTATTCGTTTTCTATTAAGACCTCAGTTAAAAATCTGACAGAGGCTGTTTTGGCTGGTGGCATCTCAGGCAGCTCAGGCTGGGAGCCGTCCCTCAAAGGGCAGAAAATGGCTCTGAACTGCACTTCTTCCCCGAAACCTGTCGCTGCAGGTGGGATGCTGCTGCAGGGAGAGGGCTTGCATCTAGGCAGCTGGGACCATCAGGCGTTTCCCCAGCTCTGCCCCCATCACGGCACGCATGGGATGAAGATGCCAGCGAAGCACATTTGCCCTTCTGAAAGGCAGCATTGCTTACACTTCAACTAAGGAGCTTTTTTTTTTTTCATTTTAAAGCCCTTTTTTATCATGTCAAAGGCACAAAGGACTTTTTCTTCCATACCCTAAAATCCATCTCAATTTAGAGGAGTCTTTCATGACGATGGACCAGCAAGGAAAGTATGCAAGGAATTTTTACTGATTGACTTAAGGTCACTAGCCAAGAAAGGGTGTCTCCAGCTTTGGATTAAGATATGGTTTTGATGTACTAGGCCTGGAAGGGAAGGTCAGGCTATATTTTATAGATAACCTTAATCTCATAAGGGCTCCCTCTCTTACAGTCATCAAGTCTCCTTATTACAAACATAATTATTACTTAGCAAAAAAATGCAATGATTTATGCATACGCAACCAACCAACAATGCATATCGAACTCTTGCAGGGAAGTAGCCGGGAGTTCTTATCCGTACTTGGGAAGCGGGGCCACCCCTCTGACCGCTACGTATAACAGGTCAGCAATGTGTCCTCTCATCAGGAAGGAACCAGCTACTGTGTAATCAAACTTACACTGACACCTGCTCTTAAAGCAGGACTGACATCCCTAAACCACTGCGCCCAACAAGTCTGTCACACAAAGTCACAGATATTTTACGATTATTTTCAGATTAAGTATTTGTGCATCTCAGTCCTTTAAGAACGAATTTCCTTCCAGCTACAAATGAGAAGCTTGTCATTGTATTTTCTTAGGTGCCACATCCCCTTATGGTACCACGAGACATGGTGTCCCCCAGCCCCCCAAGAGCAGCTCACTTGCTGCGTTTCACCCTCTCCTCTGCTCTCCGCTGGCGTGACTCACCCCCCTGCTATTCCTTCCCTGACACTCCCCGGCTAAACCAGCCCGGAGTATTTCTCACTGACAACAGTGATACTATTGCACAAAAGGCTTAGCTAAGGAGCAGGGACAGTTGCCCAAGTGCATTCCTCGCAATTAAAATTTCAAAACAGAACTACAATTGAGCTGCCACACCGACCTCACCCGGCTCCTCAACCCACTCGCACCGCTGCTGCCCTAATGGTATAACTAATGCTCCTGTGGATTCAAATAGCAATGGCCTGAGGGCTTCCTCACACCTGCCTTCAAACGTACAGCCCACAAGGTAGTGCCATGGCTCCCACATTCCTGCAGCGGCACGGCCAAGGCAGGACGAACACGGCTTGAAGAGTGGGAGATGGGAATCGCTGTAGGTAAGCAGAGCTGGAGGCACGAGCGGCACGGGGCGGCGCAGGGCATCCTTACCAGGACGGTGTGCATCCCCGTGTAGAGCCTGCTGAGGCACACCAGCGCCGAAAACACAAATGCTGCCACCAGGCCTAGTGCGAATGGATACTGTGAAAAGGGAAAAAAAAAAAAATACACACTTTACACCAATATCCTCTTGAACATCAGTATATATGAGCTGTACTTTCCCAACGAGATCAACGTGACCCAAGACAAGACCTCCTGTCGGCCAACGTGCAATCCTGCTGGAAGGTCCTTTCGCTACCCGTGGTGCTCACTTTTGCAAAGGTCTAGTCTTCGTGTGGGGAGACCTGGGAAATAGATGGTATTTGCAGAGTTTTTCTCCACAATATCCACCTGCAAAATCCATGTTAGTGCTAAAGACCTTAAGGAAAAAAAGGCGCAGCACGCTGTACAAGTAATGCCCGAGGTTGAACCGCAGCCTCAGATCACCCGAGGGGAATGCGATAGCTGCAGAGTCTGACCAGAGGCATGAGCAGCAGTGCTCCAGCAGCGGGCTGGGAGGGGAAAATCAATGTCTGGGCTGAAACTGCAGTTCAGCTATT